CCTCTCTTATTTTCTTTTTGCCTGTGGCACCACAGTAATTTGTCTTTTGAACCTCAGTGGTTTTTATTGGAGAAGCAGAGTTCTGTTATAAAGCACGGCACTAAAGACCTGAATTCTACTTTTAGCTGCATTTCATGATCTTGGGCGGGTCAGCCTCACTGAACTTCAGTTTTCTAACCTGTAAAGAGATGTTGGGGACTTCTCTGGTGGTCCAGTGGTAAGATCTCGAATGTGGCACAGTGCAGCCAAGAAAAAAAGATGACGTTACCTGCTTAATCAGTTTCATAGAATTATGATTAGCATCATGGGTGTGAAAACACTATCTAAACTCTAACGTGCCATTTTAGTAAAGGTAATGTTGTGGCCTTCTGAGCTACTACTCCCAAGAACTGTGTCTGTTATAAAGTAACTTAATCCCTTGATCTGTGGACATTTGTCAGTCACCTAGAGCAGTGGTCCCCAACCTGTTTGGCCCCAGGGGCCAGTTTCGTGGAAAATTTTTCCACAGTCTGGGGTGGGGGGATGGGCCAGGTGGTAATTCAAGCAATGAGGAGTAGCAGATGAAGCTTTGCCTGCTCATCTGCTATGTGGCCTGGTTCCTAACAGGCTTTGGACTGGACCAGGGGTTGAGGACCCCTGACCTAGAGGATTCATTTTTGTCATACATTTACTGATACTTGCTCTTTGCCAAGTATTATATTAAATGCAAAAGTGAAAGATTTAATCTGTAACCTTAGAAAGCACACAATCCAGTAAGGGAGATTTTAAAAATTAAAAAACCAAACATGTCCAAATACACTGATCAGTGTTTTAACAGTGTGCTGTGGCATTGGTTCTCCCAGGACCATCAGCTGCAACATCACCTGGGAGCTTGTTAGAAATGCAAATTCTTGGGCCCCACCTTAGACCTGTATGAAGTAAAAAAGTGGAGGTGACACAGCAATCTGTGGGTGTTTTTAATTTTTAAAAATTATTTATTTTTGCCTGCACTGGGTGTTGCTGCATGTGGGCTTTCTCTAGTTGCTGCAGTGAGGGCCACTCCCTAGGTGCGGTGCACAGCTTCTCATTGTGGTGACTTATCTTGTTGCAGAGCATGGGCTTTAGGACTTGCAGGCTTCAGTAGTTGTGGCTCACAGACTTAGTTTCCCTGGTTCCCGGACCAGGGATCGAACCCATGTCCCCTGCATTGGCAGGCAGGTTCTTAACCACTGGACCACCAGGAAAGTCCCAACAATCTGTGTTTTAACAAGTTTTCTAGGTGGCTATTGCATGAGTCTAAACTTTAGCTTGAGAACCACTGTGCTTTGGGAACAGAGGGAAGGCATGATTAATTTCTCCTGGATCAATTTACAAATGTTGTTACCCATTGGTTTGGGCCTTTGAAGAATAAGTAGCATTTTTATACAACAGAAAAAGAAAGGAAACGGGCTTTGCTGGTGGTCCAGTGGTTAGGTGTCTGCCTTGCAATGCAGGGAACACAGATTTGATCCCTGATCTGGGAGGATCCCACATGCCTTGGGGCAGCTGAGTCTGTGCACAATTGTTGAGCCCACATGCTGCAACTACTGAAGCCTGCGAGCCCTGGAGCCTGTGCTCCACAACAAGAGGAGCCACTGCAATGAGAAACCCACACGCTACGATTAGAGGGTGGCCCCTGCTTTCCACAACTAGAGAAAGCCTGAGCACAGCAACGGAGACCCAGCACAGCCATAAATAAATACTTTTTTAAAAAGTTTTTTAAAAAAGGAATCATTCTAAAGAGGATCGTGAAAAAATGTAAAAAATAGATATGTAATGTGTTGAGTAAACACATAGTTCAGTGTGACTAGACAGGCTTTTTAGGGCAAGTTATTAAAGATAAAGCTAGAGAGAAAGGGAGGATGAAGCTCAATTGTTTAGGGCTTTGAGGTTAGACTAGTGGTTCGCAAATTTATGTGCACTTTGCAGTTACTAGGGGAACTTAACAAACCCTGCTTATGTCCCTTTCTTGTAATTTAGTTGGCCTGGAGTGAGGCTTAGGGTTTGGAATTTTTAAAAGATCCCCAGGTGATTCTAATGTACAAACAAGTGGGAACCACTGGGTTAGACTATTTATTGGGAACAATTTTTCTTTTTTCAACATCAGAGTGACATGCTCTGATTTATGTGTTAGGACTGTAATTGGTGTAGGGAAAGAGAATGGAAATAGGGCAACCTCTTTATCCTTCACAATTCAAATGAAGTATCCTTTAGGAAGCTTTCATAACCACCTTATCCTCAAGTCCTCTCCTGTGGGCTTCTATAACCATATTTCCCTTATCTTTGCATCTATCACACTCTCTTGTAAATCTTTTGTCTTTACTAGACCACGAGGGTAGGAAACCATGTCGAAGTTTGTTTTCTATCCTCAGCATTTAATGCAGTGTCTGGTATAGAGTTGATATTTCATAAATACTTGTTGATTAAGTGGCCAGTTAGGTGATTATTTCAGTACAGGTATAAGATGAGGATCATATTAGAGTTGTAACCATAGGAAAAGAGAGAAGGGAGAGTTCTAAGAACTATTTCAGGTTATAGAATTTATAAGATACTGTAAATGTGGGTGTAGGAAGAAAAGAAGTCCTAGTCCAGGAACAGGAGATTTTAGCTTGAGTAACTGATGATGCCATTAACAGAGAATGTAGAGGAGCAAGAATGAATTTTAGTTGGAGATAATAAGTTTGTCTTTTGTGAGGTTTAAGGCAATTGGAAACATCAGCCTAGCTCTTCAGACTGGAACTAGAGATAATGATTTAAGAGTCAGCAGTGTCTGGGTCAGTTCCCAAGTGTGGCTCTACATTAGAATTACCTGCGGGGTCTTTTAAAATATACCCAGTATATAACCCCACTGTAGACCAATTAAATCAGAATCTCTGAGGGATGGGACCGAGGCATGAATACTTTTTAAAGGCTCTTGAGATGATTCTGTTGTGCGTCAGGGTTGAGGCCCATGTTATAGTTTAGGGAATCATGTAGAACTAAAAAGGAGGGAATTTACAGTCAGAATCTGGAGCGATACCAACATTTAAGGGTAAGTGGAGGAAGAAAAACAGCATTGGAGACCCTCTGTGGGCAAAGGTATTGAGTCTTTGGAGCCCTCCTTTTCTACTGTACAACTCTAGTGTTGGATCCACTTCTGGGCATGACTGTGTTTTCAATAGAACCCAAATTATCTGCTCCTTCCAACTCTGGGAGTTTGAGGCCGTTCCCTTGCCTCCCATCTCCCTGCCATTAAAACCTAAACAAACTGAACTTACAAATCAGCAGGAGTCTAAAAGATCCCAAAGGACAGTGGCGCCCATGTCTATTCCCATTTGTAATGTACCCAAAGCTCAAATCTTTTCAAGCTCATGTTCAATCTATTATTGTTACCTTGGGCTTCTGGTATAACATAGCAGCAATACATAGGGTTTCCCACTGAGCAGAAGGAGCAGGTAGTTTCTCTTATTTTTATTTCCTGCTTCTGTCTCCCCTCTAATTTTGTGCTTAGTTGTTCAGTCATGTCTGACTCTATGTGACCCCATGGACTACAGCCCGCAGGCTCCTCTGTCCATGGGAATTCTCCAGGCAAGAATACTGGAGTGGGTTGCCATGCCCTCCTCCAGGGGATATTCCCAAACCAGGGATCAAACCAAGGTCTCCTGCATTGCAGGCGGATTCTTTACCGACTTAGCCATCTCCAATTGTGTTTCTGACTGACTTTTTACGTGTAATGAAAGGAAAGGGTAGGCAGGAATGGGGTCATGTAAACAGTACAAGATTGGAGGGCAGTAGCAGCAGGTGCCTCCAGACTTCTCAGGACCAGGTGATGATGGGTTGAGAGGGAGGGACAAATTGCAGATTGGAGCCAGAGCACTCAGGAGCCTCAGGATGAGGTAAGTTATAGAATAAGCCCCTGTGTCTTCTTGGCTCAATGAGAACGAAGAGGTGATTTTGAGGCATGCATGTTATGAATCCAGCAAGAGAAACTGTTGAAGTAGTTAGGTGGGCAGGAAAAAAAACAAACTGAGCTAAATTAAGATGAATGAAACACAGTTTCTGCCTTCAGGGATTTTCAGTCCAAGGAGAGAGACACCTGTATAAATAACTAATCGAATGGCAAAATGAAATAATCTCTAAATAGGTGTACAACAAAACAAATGATCTTCTAAGATGAGAGAGGTTTGTGGAGAGATGGTATCTGGATTTGGTATCAGAAAGATGTGGAAAATCTCCCAAGGGAAAAAAAAAATTGTGGAAAATCTTGAAGGTTGGCGGTTTGGAGCTGTGGATGGCATTCTAGGCTGAGGAAGCAGCCTTGAGTAAAGACCTGGTATTTTTTTAAAAAGCTGCTACGAACACTTAAAAGAGACTTGGTATTAATGTGTGTTTAGGGAGTAGTCAGATGTGTGGTTGGAGCATGTGGTACATAGGAAAAACATGATTGAGGCTTATTTTGATGCTCCTATCTGTATCACTGGTGTTAAGATAAGGGCCTCTTCTTTCCCTGTATGAAGTAGGCCCAGAGATTTCCCAAATGTACATAGTTAAGCTGCATCAGCTCTTAAACACAGCAGGGGTAGAACTACATTCTCCTCTTAAGGACCAGGTAGGAATCACCTCTAGTTATATTTTTTCCTACTGCAAATGACTTACCCCATTTGAAGATTCTGAAATGGGTGAGACCATTGGTTGAGACCCCCTGCCACTGCCGTATCTCTCAGATGTGTTGTGGTAGGAAATAAAAATGGTTGAGAACATGATAATGACAGTAAACTCCCCAAGAACAAGGACTGTGTAATTAATTGCCTTTTTGTTTCCCCACATATTACTGTTTGGGGCCTGGCCTGTATATGTAGGCAGTGAATGCTGTATTGTCACCGTTGCACACTATCATTTTTACAGATACCAATCGTTTGGTCAGTTGACTTCTGATCATTGTGAAACTGGAAAAGAATAACAATAAGCCTAAACCTCTAACTTCATTGCCTGTCTTTATACAGAATCCTTACCATGGATGGGCTCATTGAGGACATAAAGCGACGGCGGTATTACGAGAAGCCTTGCCGTCGGCGACAGAGGGAAAGCTATGAAACCTGCCGGCGGATCTACAACATGGAAATGGCTCGCAAGATCAACTTCTTGATGCGAAAGAATCGGGCAGATCCATGGCAGGGCTGCTGAGGCCTGTGGATAGGAGGCCCAGTATGAAAACCCTTATCCAGTTGTCTGCACCTCTTTTCTTCCTCCAATCCCATTTACCTTTCTTAAAATAAACTCAAGCACATATATGCAAGAAGCAGTTCCACTAGTCAGCAGTGGATACTCTCTTTTATTAAGTCAAAAGACAAAGTGAGTCAAAAAGTAGTCTAGGGAGAGAATGTTGGTTGCCAAGGGCTGGTTTGACAGGAGGGGCATGGGAAATTATTGTTTAATGAGTATGAGTTTCAGTTTGGGAAGAAGAAAAGGTCTGGAGATGGATGATGGTGGAACTTGCACAGCAATGGGAATGTACTTAATGCCATGGAATTATACACTTAAATGATCAATTAGGGTAAATTTTATGTTTTGTATATTTTACTGTAATTTTTTAAAAGGCAGTCTGAGGTGGGAAATTTTTCTCAAATGTAGTAGAGTATATCTCCCATGTTCTAACTAATTTTTATGAAACTCAAAGCAAGATCTTATGATTGGAAAAGGATCTGTTCCTCTTTAGTGAACTGCCTTCCAGCTGTTGGCAGGCAGTTCAATAAAGGGAGAGGAAGCATATGTATGTGTGGAGTAAGTCCCACCTCTGAAACACCCATCACCCAGAGTGGTAGAGAGCTGAAACCCTTCATCAGGAGAATCTTAAAGACAGTCTAACATTTACCCCTGTTTGGTCTTTTCTTTAGTTTTCCTAAAGGAAGCTAATAAAGGGCTGGTAGAAATGAAAGCAGTAGATGGATGGTAGGAAAGAGGGAATGGGGGAATGTTAAGAGAAAGCCAGAAAAACCTACAGCGGTGGTTCTCAAAATGCAATCTTCAGATCAGCAGCATCACCTGAAAAACAGCTTGAAATGTAAGTTTTAGACCTACTTTAGACCTTCTGAATTGGAAATTGAGGTTGGAGCCCAGCAGTCTATTTTAACAAGCCCCGCAGGTGATTCTGATGCCTGATAACATTTGAGAATCATTGCCCTATAGTACTCAAAGGAGATTCCAGGTGGAGGTTCTGACACCACCCCTCCCTCTCCTCAGCAGGCACTTCCAGGTGAGAGCTGGAGCATCTGACCACTATGGGAAAACCAGCTGCGGTGCTTCCTCTCCTGTTGTGTTTTCTCTGACCTTGGTCCCCTGACAGTCATGCCTGCTAGTACAAAGAGAGTGCCAACCCCTGTAGAATGCAAAGGGTAGTCACCTCTCCTGACCCTGACTGGAGCCCTCTCAGCATTAAAAAATTTAGAGCAGACTGCCTCAACTCCTACCTCTCCACATTACTAGTGTTCAAACATTGCCCTCTTGAGGTATAGCAGCGTGACTTCAGATTTCCTCTGGTTTTAATTCTATCGTGTTTTTTCTTGTTTTCACGATAACCATATTTATTGATTAAATCTGTGATGGAACAATTTTATACAATCTCATTTTCATAAGAAATATTTATACTTCTGAATCACCTTTCAATCTCTGAATTTGGTCTTCAGTACCTCACTTTTGAATGATTTTGAGCCATGCAATGGTATCACCTGCCAATTGCTGTTGCTAAAGACTAAAGACCTGGCTTCTGCCAAAATGATAGATAGGAGAACTGGATCTGTCACTTGTCAGCATTTCCCTGAGGCTAATGTTGTTTCTATCTTCCCTGCAAAAGACTAAGGGATGGCTAAGTTCTGGAATTCGTCTCTGAAATTATGCCCTGCTTGTCCTAATCTCCAGTCCTGACCATCTTCCATGTTCCATGGAGCAGTGAACAATGATGGGTTGTAGCAGGTAGCCAATTGAAAAGGCCTCGTGTGTGAAAAGGGAGTAGCTGGCTGGCTGAAGTCCTAATCAGCTTGTGCTGTCATGGAAGGAAGAAAGACCTTCCACTCCCTGCTCTGGAAGCTAGAAGATACCTCATGGTCACTTAATGAATGGGGATTGTCCTAATCTTTTTATTCCTGCATTAGCTTTAGAAGAGGGGTGGTTTAGTACCTATTGCATTTCCAGGTAGCATTAGTGGTAAAGAACCTGTGGGCCAATGCAGGAGACGTAAGAGAGGCAGGTTTGATCCCTGGGTTGGGAAGATCCCCTGGAGGAGAGCATTGCAACCCACTCCAGTAATCTTGCCTGGAGAATCCCATGGACAGAGGAGCCTGGTTGGCCACAGTCCATGGGGTCGCAAAGAGCCAGATGTGACTGAGCATACATGCAGCACAGCTTAGTATTTACACAGTTACAGGATAAAAGATAGAATACTTCCTACCTTGATCTTAGGCATCTTTGCCCTCTCTTAGATGTCCACCTGATTGCCTCTGGCAGGCCTGTTCGGATCATAATTTTAGGATCTTAACTTTAGTGCTCCAGAAACAGCTACCTCTTTAAAATCGGACTCTGTTGAGTAACTTTGACGTTGCACTTTAAAGTTTTCAGAAGTGCTCTAAGTACAAAATAAGTATGCCTGTGGGTTAACTGAAAATACTAAGGAATAAAAACTCACTATATACTAAACAAGTAAAGTAATAATGGATTACTGTATTAAAATTAGGTAGTCGAAGGAAAAGGAAAAGATGAGAACTAGTATATGCCAGTTACCTAATATACATAGTTTTTTACATAGTCAAAAAGATCTAGATTCAGTCATGACCTTGGCAAATTATTTACATAAATTCTAAGAATTTAAATCTATCTGATTCCAAATAATGGAAATAAAATCAGTTCCTAAAAACCCATTTCCCTTTGGGGAGTTGAATCCAGCTGACTGAAAGCACCGAACCTGAATTTACAACCAGAGTTGGAACTCATTAACCCATTTAACAGACTTTTTGGAGTGACTATTTGGAGCCGCATGGGTGAGGCACGACTTAGCAGCTAAACTACCACCACCATTTATGTGACAATAGTTTTAAATATTGTAGATAAAATGAGCAAACAGGCATGAATAAGTTGAGTAAGAGGCATCCTCAGTTTGTTACTCAAAGCCAAAATTTATTCATTGTTTCATGCTGCACCATCAGAGAAGGTTGATTTTAGTACATTTTTCTCAAATTTATTAAAAGCCAGACTTTAAGTACAAAAATCTTGTATTCGCTGGGCAATTCTAATAATCTCCTTAAAGAATAACTGCAATTTTCCAGTGAACCTATTATCTTAAAATCTTGGAATTTCTTAAACATTTTGGAATTTTGGTTTTTGTAGTTTGTAATCTGAAAATAACAGTTTTTTAAAAGATGGAGAAGCTCTATACAGTCAGCAAAAACAAGACTGGGAGCTGACTGTGGCTCAGATCATGAACTCCTTATTGAAAAATTCAGACGAAAATTGAAGAAAGTAGGGAAACTACTAGACCATTCATGTATGATCTAAATCAAATCCCTTATGATTATACAGTGGAAGTGACAAATAGATTCAGGGGATTAGATCTGATAGAGTGCCTGAAGAACTATGGACAAAGGTTCGTGACATTGTACAGGAGGCAGTGACCAAGACCATCCCCAAGAAAAAGGCAAAATGGTTGACAGAGGAGGCCTTACAAACAGCTGAGAAAAGGAAAGATACCCATCTGAATGCAGAGTTCCAAAGAATAGCAAGGAAAGATAAAGCTTTCCTCAGGGATCAATGCAAAAGATATAGAGACAAACAATAGAATGGGAAAGACTAAAGATCTCTTCAAGCAAATTAGAGATACCAAGGTAACACTTCATGCAAAGATGGGCACAATAAAAGATAGAAATGGTATGGACCTAACAGAAGCAGAAGATACTAAGAAGAAGTGGCAAGAATACACATAAGAACTATACAAAAAAGATCTTAATGACTCAGATAACCATGATGGTGTGATCACTCACCTAAAGCCAGACATCCTGAAGTGTGAAGTCAAGTGGGCCTTAGGAATCATCACTATCAACAAAGCTAGTGGAGGTGATGGAATTCCAGTTGAGCTATTTCAAATCCTAAAAGATGATGCTGTGAAAGTGCTGCACTCAATATGCTAGCAAATCTGGAAAACTCAGCAGTGGCCACAGGACTGGGAAAGATCAATTTTCATTCCAATCCCAAAGAAAGGCAATGCCAAAGAATGTTCACTACCACACAATTGCACTCATCTCACACGCTAGCAAAGTAATGCTCAAAAAATTCTCCAAGCCAGGCTTCAACAGTACATGAACCAAGAACTTCCAGATGTTCAAGCTGGTTTTAGAAAAGGCAGAGGAACCAAATAATGAATTGCCAACATCCACTGAATCATAGAAAAAGCAAGAGTTCCAGAAAAACATCTGCTTTATTGATTATGCCAAAGCCTTTGTATGGATCACAAACTGGAAGATTCTTAAAGAGAGGGGATTACCAGACCACCTTATGTGCCTCCTGAGAAATCTGTATGCAGATCAAGAAGCAACAGTTAGAACTGGACATGGAACAATGGAATTGGTTCCAAATTGGGAAAGGAGTATGTCAAGGCTGTATGTCAAACTGTCACCCTGTTTATTTAACTTATATGCAGAGTACATCATGAGAAACCCTGGGCTGGATGAAGTTTAAGCTGGAATCAAGATTGCAGGGAGAAATATCAATAACCTCAGATATGCAGATGACACCACCCTTATGGCAGAAAGCAAAGAGGAACTGAAGAGCCTCTTGATGAAAGTGAAAGAGGGGAGTGAAAAAGTTGGCTTAAAACTCAAAAAACTAAGATTATGGCATCCAGTCAAATAGATGGGGAAACAATGGAAACAGTGAGAGGCTTTATTTTCTTGGGCTCCAAAACCACTGTGGATGGTGACTGCAGCCATGAAATTAAAAGACACTTGCTCCTTAAAAGAAAAGCTATGACAGACCTAGACAGCATATTAAAAAGCAGAGACATTACTTTCCCTACAAAGGTCCGTCTAGTCAAAGTTATGGTTTTTCCAGTAGTCATGTATGGATGTGGGAGTTGGACTATAAAAAAAAACTGAACACAGAAGAATTGATGCTTTTGAACTGTGGTGTTGAAGAAGACTCTT